CTAAACTCTAGAGTACACCTTGAATCAATGAAACCTCGGCATGCTTTTTAGACGCAATTTCGGATATTTTGGGAAATCTATTGATAACATAATGGTGTCCTCACTTCATCGTCTATTCCGTATTCAAAAATCTCACAGCCACGCATCTCCTCGCACATGAATCGGCAAGCTGAGAGGTTTGAGTAACCATTATATCCTTTAGTAGCTCCCAGCAGCTTACGGTGTTCACTAGTCGACCATCGATATTTGCCGGATTCACACTGCATCCATAAATGTGGAGGACACGTTTGGCATCCACCGGAGCCAGCCACCTTGGCCACTGCGAACAAGAGGAGTACGTGGTTCAAAACAATGTATGTCATTTAGCTGATATCTAGGTGCTTTGGAACCTCAAAGGAACATATATTGTTTACCCGCAACGCATATTTCTCGTTCTGATTGGTTAAGTTGCAGACCACTCAAAATTAGCCGATTCCTTGTTTATTGGATGCACCAAACAACCTGGAAATTTGTGCATCCAATTCACCTCGAATAAAGTCAAGCACGGCAAAATCTTGAGAAGTCCACCTAGGGTAAACGAAAATGGAGATTGCGAATTTCTGCGGGAATCATCATTAGGTTTTGATTGTTCAAATCGAGAATAAGGACACTCTCGTAAACATCATAATCGACGGTGATTATGATGAGGTCGGAAAATAGCATCACCTTTTCCTCGTGGTTAGTTATTACCAGGGTAAGAATTGCGAGGCGTTTCATCTGATGTTTCTCGAAAACGGGATACCAATCCACCAAATTAAGCATCAAAGTTCATTAGTTGATCCGGTTTTCTGTCCACTAAATGCGACGCATCTTATACATGCATCCAGTGTGTCAACAGAATAGGGTCAAACCGTATTACGAAATATGCCGTGGTGAACACAACGACAAATACCATTTCGGAGTGACAGTTTGACGGATGCTCTGAGACCACGCCGGGAACTCCAGCACGAACTCCCACGAAAGAGCTGCTAGATGTAAGATTTTGTAAAATCCATGGACCTAGTCGCTGATTGATGGATGTATAAGCCCGTTTTTGTGATGTAACAACCCATATACCAAACATTCAATGTAAAGTAAGCAGTGAGGAAACTTACTTATTTTATTCGACGCACAAGTGATTTACAAGGCGTCGGCTTGCAATTTCTTCCGCTGATATATTCAATAATCGTTCTGCTTGGAATAAGAAGACAATTGGAACATTGCATTTAAATGTTGGTTGATGTGGCGTTTTTACAGATGACGGAAATGTGAAGCAGTGTGATATAATAAAATAATAGTTTGCGATAAATGTCTGGATTTACTTGTTCATGACAATTTGTCGAATCACATTCCATTGTTATCATGCTGGGAAACCCTCTATTTGACAGCCAGCGGAAGGTTTTGTTCATCTTGGGTCTCAGCAGGTAAGCGCCATTCCAGAGATTTCATCAACAGTGTGTTTCACGTGAAGCCAGATCACATGGAACCTGACGTACGCACTCATGTATGGACAATCTTGCAGCCTCACCCGAAACTTGGCCAAGTCCGTTATGAATCAAATGAAACTTGTGGCATGAGTGGTATATAGTTTTGGAAACCTCGAGCACGCACTTGATTTTTGAGCCTCAAACAGGTCCAACCAGGTTGACCGCCATGGAAATGTTTTCGATAATCTTGGCAGTAGATTCATTTGTGAAAATTTGCTGCGCCATTTCGACTGTCAAATATCAGCTGACAACCAGCTGAGCGAACGAACCAACGACCATCTACGCCACCTGACCTACCGACATTCTCCCGAAATATTATTCTAATGCTGTCAGCTACTTTTGTCCACTGTTCGCGGGTATACTGTTCAACGGTAACCTGTGTTTTCACATCCCAGCTCATGAAAATTTACGCATAATCCAATCCAGCTAAGGACACCTGGACATAATAGATAAATGCAAATAGCGAACAAATGTCTAAACCTTCCGGTCGAAATAGGAGTTGCGAGCGAACGTCAAGATATCCTCAATAATCTCGGCAACTGCGATCGCATATCAGTGTTTCCGAATAGCTAACACGTTTTGTAAATTACTGGTATTTACGTGTGCACGAAACGGAACCCGACCGAATTTCTTTGAAAACGGCTGCCATATCTGTTAGGCATTCTACTTTGTTGATGTGCGAATACGTGAGATTTGATTATTGGATATGTGAATTTCCTTACAGGTTTAAGAATATCCCTTGTTTCATTCAGTAAATCAGTAACTTTTGATTGTTTGCAAGAACAAAACGTTGGTAGCGTACCACAAATGATGTGCGCTAAATATGCCACATACGCAGCGGCCTGACTCTCCACTGTTGCCGTTGTGATATGTATGCTTCAGCTGAAGCAGTTCAAATCCAAATGAACAGCTGCCCAACACCTGGAGGAGATTCATCCATTCGCTCACTGGAAGAAAGATAGGAGTCGGTTGAAACATTATAATTTTTCCCCTTTTAAAAAG